CTCTCGCCACCGTCACAATGTCTCTCTCTCTCTCTCGCCACCGTCACGATGTCTCTCTCTCTCTGCTCTGATTGACTGTCATCACATCTGACAGCACAGCCAGGAGAAAGATGATAAACAAGACGTTTACATCAAGGAGACATCCTTGGCTGTCCACACGGAACAACACACACACGGACAGGGTACTAACACGACGGAAGAGAGCGAGGGAGGATGCAGCCACACACACACACACACACACACACACACACACACACACACACACACTCTGTCAGAGTTAAATTTGACTGTTGGAGCAGAAAAGCTGTGACACCTGTCTGCCTTAAAGACAGGGTCCACCCAAACTCTCAGGCTTGAAAGGTGGCTGTAACTTGGTCCCTCATGACAAATGTGTGGTTAGGATGGCTTTTTTAGTCCATGTAAGGGCAGAAGTGGACAATTATGGGGCTCTTTTCCTATCTTTATTCAAGAGCGTGGTCTTTCAATTGTAGAGCATGACAGATGATGTCACGTTCAGATTTTGTAAAGCTTTCCCAGAAAACCCTGTCCTCGCACCGATATAAGACGATGTAAAGAATGGAATAGATCAGTGGCTCTCCGGAGAGTGAACTCGGGTTGAATTCTTTGCTTGAAGATTAAACTCTATTGCATTGATCTCTGTCTGAGTGCTTTCTTCAAACATCGTCGGCTCATTTCCACTCATTCCCTGCCAGATTGTCAACGTTGCTTGATGCTTTTGTTTCCCTGCTCTTTGTGCTCTTAATCTGAGCCCTGCAACCTGTTTCCTGAAGCCTGTATCTGTACCTGCCTGTCTACACCTTTTTCCGGCCCCATTCTGGTTATTACCGGTGGATTCTCAATCACTTCTGTTTGGACTTTCAGTAAGCTTCGATATCTTCACCTGGTCAATTAATCATTGAACTGCATTTGATTCCTCCTCCCTCTGCTGCCTGAATATGTGAATCAGCAGTTTGTTTCAGCTCCTTTCTCTCTTAGAGTCTTTGGTTTTACTGTACTGCTCTCATTATTGTGATTTCCAGCCAAAGCAGTAATCCATTTCTTGTCCAAAAAACTCAGATAAACCGACTGTCCACTACCTGCCCAGCTCCAAATGGCTCTGATGAATGTCAACTTTGCTTTGTTTTCACCATAAAAACTATAACTCCGCAACTTTAAAGGCTCTATATTCAGGATCGGGAACATTTCAATTGCCTCTAAACGGCTCTCAACATGTCGATGGCGAGCTGGCGGCCCATAGCTTACTGTGCAAGCAACGGTAAACAAACAGTGTTGACCTGAGGGCCCACGGCTGCCGTAATCCCATTTCAAGATGGCCTCCAGATCTTCTCAGCTTCTATTTACTCTTCTCTCTCACCTTAAACATATTTGGTCCATTTCCCTTTGATACAGGATATATTGCTCTGATTTTTGTTGATGTCAATGAACACTTGATGTTGATTTGGAAGTGAAGAGGGACTGATAAAAAAAATGGAAGGGACAGGGGGGAGGGGTGATGCATCTGTTGCCAAAGATGGACCCATTAATCTAAAGATAACTTGCATGTAAGACAGCAGTGATTCTGGCTCCTACAGACAGACATTAGCTAATTGCCCATGGAAAAGTGCTCTTTCCACCTCTTTATAGATTTCTACATGTAAATCCTGCCTCTTTACTGCGTGTCCCCCACCCCCCCCAAGTCAATAGAAAGGTGGCAAGATTTTTATACACTTGAGTAAGTTGCGAAAGTATTAAAACTCATAAAATGCATAAATGTCGATGTTGAAATGAGCTCATAGATTCTAAATCCTTTAATGCTACATTTTTTGACACATTATAGACTTTTCCTGGGCAAAAATTGCTAATAAACGCATTTGAAGAATCAAACTGGATCTTAAAGCCATTCGTAGAGCATTGATGATTCATCAATTATCCATACATCATGAATTCAAATACAGAAAAATGTAAGTATTGCCTTTCTGTGATTAGTACTGGAATATTAGTCTGTACTGTTAATGAATACCGTTTGGTAAGTGTGTGTGAATACTTTTACTAGAGTATGGATGTAAACAGATTCAAAAATAGGCTTGTAGTCTTTTCATTGTTTGAACTATTACTGAGGACTAATCTAAATCAGCAGATTCCACACCTCTTTTTCACAGAAAATAGATTTTGCATTTAATTTCCTCTGCTGTAATGGTCAGTCAGCAATGGCAAATCAGATTGTAGGAAACAGCGAGTGATTACCTTCTGTGGAGGGACGTTTGTGTTTTTGTGTGAATGCTGCAGTTTTTACGCAGTGTAGATGCAGGATAACGTTACTTGTTTATGAACTGTTTACATTATTTGTACTCATGTCTGTTTGTCTGCCTCAGTTGACGTACACGTTTGCCCATTATGTAATTAATTATTGCACATGCTGTGCGCTGTGATAAAAAACAGACTCTGACTCACCTCAGCTCTTTGAATGGCTCGGCCCTGACGTGTGGCGTCTCCACTGACTTGCTGAACACGGCTCCTTCGGCCCCTGTAATCACAGAACACAACGTCAGACGGGAGGCCGCCGTCGATAGAAACCACAAACCCCTCCTGTCTGATCAATGGACATAATCTCTGAGACTCCGCCGATCCATATGGCTCTCCAGTCAGCGCGCACAGCGGCCCCCACCTCGCCTCGCCCCACTGATAACACTTTTTCATTTCATCATGAGGGAAAAAGCAGTAATAGACTTAAAGCTGCTCAGAGCTTCACTAACCAGGGGCATGAATATAATGTGCAGGCAATGCGGCTGCACTAGGACCCTTGGGGTGGGGGGGGCATAGAGAGCGGGTCCTCTAACAACATGTTGGGCAGTAATCGGACACTTGTACTTCTGTTTGCTTCCTCAGAAATATGGCCTGTGTTCACAGAATAACTCACAGAACTCGCTTTTGCCATTTGCTATATATTCCCTCGAAAAGGCAAATCCATCCACTTCATCATTTTCCTTTTTTGGGGTAAAATAGTCAGTAGCAATCTTTAACAAAATCATATGCTGCTATTTCTACATAAACGATTAAAACTATGAATTGACTATAAAAAATGATTCAATTAAATGAGTAATTTCTTTTTTTCTTAGGTATTTTTGTCATGTACAGATATGCAATGATAATTGCTGGTTACATTTTATGTGAATGTTGTCAATTGTTAAGTTTCTAGGTGATCGTGTGACGGGACGATATGTGTGTGTGTGTGTGTGTGTGTGTGTATGCATCATATCTTAGTAACTAGCGTGCAGGGCCCGTCATAAAAGAGTGCACTGGGGCCTGCTGCCACTACTTTAGGCCACTGACACTGGCAGTTCAGAACAACATGATCTCAGAAATATGCTCCCTTGACAGGCCAGTCTTTCTGCTGTTCAGAAGACTGGATTTCAATCTCTTATTCATGACCTCCTGTGGGCAGTGAGGTGAATCTCGATAAGGGTTCACAATAAGCGGCAACAGGACAATGTTCTGTGATAGCACGCAGTAAGTGTAGTTTAGAAAGTTTGATATTCCAGGTGTATATCGAATAGTATTTCTGTTTATAATACGAAGACATAGCAGTAGTAGAATTATAATATAGTAACAGAAACCAAGAACTACAAAGCAGCCATGAGATTACAGAACGGCAGCATGCAATAAAGAACTACAAAGCTATTAGCAGAACGACAATAGCACTGGCAGCATATCCATGCATATTGATGCAACGAGATATGCCAGTGTTCTGTCTGTGCTGCAGAAAAGCAGCAGACTTTTTTTTTTCTTCTTTTTACCACAATTGCTTCTCTGATCTCTTCTTCTGTGCCCTGACTACTTTCTTCGGTCTGCACAGCTCGGTGAGTGACACGAGTCAAATGAAACGGCGCACTGTGACGTGCTGCGTCATTGTGCAGCTGATGCGTGCTGCACTTTGAAACGTAAACATATTTGCATTGAGTTTCAGCAAATTATAGAAGTGAAGACCAAAGATGTGAAGTATAAATACTGAAGTCCTCCAAATTACTTTATTTCATGCTGTGTAAAAAGCACCGTGTCGTCATCAGTGTGACCACAGACATTTAGTCTTGTTAGAAATACATTAACTTCCAAACACAAGTTAGAATAAACGTACAGATTAATGTTCTGACTTACTTCACCTGAAGTACGACTTACATTCCGTCGCTTGTTTGTGATGAAGTACAAGCTAACAGCATTAAAAAGGACAAATACTCAACTGGCCCTCAGCCCGAGGCTCACGCCGTCTGTAGTGCAAATACCGCAGCTCGGCTTGAGTAACCTGGAGCAGTCAGGTACATCGAATCAACAAAGCATCAAGTGCAGATCAATGGCCATGACTAAATGTGTTTGAAAACCGTTCGAGGCACTGCAGGGAAACCGCACATTTCTCCCTCTGCGACACACATCGAAGATAAATGGAGGAGGAAAAGTTGCAATATTTGTTGATATATAGCCCCGATCCTGAGTGATAAAGTGTGTGTGTGTGTGTTCAAGTGATGACCCACTGCCTCACTCAACACGACACACCTTTGACATCACGTAACCATCAGACCACCCTGTGTTCAACAGGGGAACAAAATGATTTTCCAGTGACAGTGGAGTTTAATTGTTGAGCATTCCATGTTGTCAAAGAACCAAAAAAATCCATATTTGATGATTGAATAGTACAGAACTAGAGAGTTTTATGGACAGTCAGCATTAATAGCTCTACATTTTTATTTGGGACATGAGAATGGGTGTCAAAATGATTATAACTTTTTTGAAACATTAGTTTAGACCCCGCTCCATTCTACCTGCGCGCGCACACACACACACACACACACACACACACACACACACACACACAAGCTTGTCGCTGATGCGTGGATCAAAGCTTAGTCTATAAGAAAATATCTCAGGGTTCAGGCGGGCGGATCACAAAGCGACAAAGCAGCGCTCCAAGTAGGTTATCAATAACATTGAGTGCAATAGTCCACCCTCCACACCTTCTCTTCCCTCTCTTTTGCTTTCACACTTTTCAAACCTATGAATTCAAGACTATTGTTTTCTATGAAAGCTGTTGTACTGATGCCTTTTACAATAAATAATGAGTGGAGAAGTATGAAATAAAATAAATATACACCCCACATTTTCCTCATACTATTATAGTCAGATAAAGTAAGCACCAGTTAAAATGCACCAGAACATCTACTCTGTTTGCGATTTCCACTTGTTATATTGTCTATATAACATTTGTCTATCTTTCCAATTCCCATGTATGTGAGAGTAGAAACAACATGCTTTTCTCAGCTGGTTAAAATCTAAACTGAACACACTACAGTATTTGTCTTTTATTTTATTTTGAAAGCATTTCCAACACAATGGTAAAGTGAACAAGTGCATTTAAAGATCCTTCATCCGGCCAAAACTATGATAAAAGGGAATCCTGGAGCTTATTCTGGGTACATCCCAAATCTCTTAATTGTCATTTCCTCGCTCCTCGCTTCAACCGGAAGTTGTTCTGCGCCGCCATATTGACGGCCGTCCCAAAGCTCTTATTTAGCTCGGAGGAGCGAGGAGAGAGGAGGGATCTCTGAGGAGCCATGAGCGAGGACCCACGAGAACAGCCTTCCAGGACATCTTTTAACGTCCGACACGCCCCCTCATTGTTCAACTGTTATGTGAATGGACGCTGCAGCTGATCGGACTGATATCATTTTTTTCAACATGTAAACAGTGAAGACGGATCACAGATTGAACTCAAGCTTTATATTTGATTAGGTTTCTGATTCACCGTCTGGTTTAAATAAATGTTCATTGTAGACTGAACAACAAAAGGACCTCAAACAACTTTCTACATTTTTTGAAAGATTTGTGTTTTCATGATCTGACATTTCCCTCAATAACTTTTATTATGGAAACAATTAAAGTCAGAGGGAGCTGGAGAGACGAAACACTTTTTACATCATTTATCATCATTTCATTCAGTCACGTCTTTATTAGTTATTAGTATTATTAGTTACTATTATTAAGTACAGTGATCCTGTGAACAGACACAACATACATGCTATGGCGTTGAATATTTGGTATCCTATTTTTGCAGTTAGCAAATAAGTGCTGTACCGATTAATTTCTCTGTTTTCTTTTTTAGAAGCGAAACAAAACTGAGGGCTTACAAAAGAAATAAATAAAAAAGCTTTATTCCTAGTAGCTTATGAAAGCTCTGGTGACATTTAAATACCTGTTCAGTCAGTTAGAGCCAGAGTACAAAGAGGAGGATGTAAAGTGAAGTGGAAGCCTCGGTGCGTGTCACTGCCTCTTTCCTGCAGTAAAGTGAGTGAAGATAAAACAGAAGCCTCACATTAGAAATCTCAGCTCTCGGTCGGAGTAAGAAGAACAAAAAGCTCTTTACTTTGCGTCTGGCTGTCACTCTGCCTTAAATCGCAAGTTTAAAAGATAAAACCAATGTCATTTTATTCATACCACCCTTTTTATCGCCCATATAGGAAGTTCTCACACAACGATGTAGTCAGCAGACATTCTTTCAGTATTTTGTTTCATGATAGCTTTAATTTTCCTCTATGCAGAATCGCCAGGATCATTTGGAGTTATAAAGGGCTATTTTAGTTATTCAGTGACAAATGATTTTTTTCGAATCAGTTTTCATCTGTAGTTTGGTACGCAATAATAATACCCATGAAACTCAGCAACTATTTCTGTAGAGATTATACCACACAGAGCTGCACATTAAAAATGCTCTGTGATGCAATCAGAGAAAAATAAATAAAAATAACCAGCACCATGTTACTTAATTGAACTGGAATTGATCATGAATCCATTAGGGAAGTAATTCAATTAGCTGAAATTAGTTCAACAAAGCTTAGCCTCTAACTTCATACTGCTACATTGTAGATTTTCCCGAAATCAAATCCAGTTCTTGAACCAATTATTTTTGACAGACGGACAAATTCCTCCTCACCTCCGTATCTGTGTAGCACCACTTCTCAGTACATTTTCTGTCAAATATGCTTCCACTGTGCTGTTGATTGTTTGATTTTGGCTGGATCGACTCCAGCAGCAATGTGCCGCCACATACTTGCAGACTCTCTTTGCGGTCACTGGAATTATTGACTGTCGTACGTTGCATGTCGTCATCAGTGTGCAGAATATTTTATTTTTCCAAGTCGCTGCGGCAAATTTGTGGACCTTGCTGACAAGTTTATGTTGCACATTTAAAGTATCTTGGTCACAATTCTGTAATAAAAAACGAGTTAATTGAATCAATACTTCTACGTGTATATTAGCTTTATAAAAAATATTATTGGCCAATAGATTGTTGTCATATTTTTTAAATTCTCAAAAAGCAAAATCAGTATTGGTCAGTTGTGTGATAAACATTAATGAAGAGTTTGAAGACAAGCCATTTAATCAATAAATGTCACAGATTATTGATATTGTGGCACTGCTGCAGATGTTTATATTTTTGCCCTGCTGTCTTTATTTGTTTTCAGCAGCGTCTGACGACTC